ATGGGCAGCTCCTGTCTGGAGGCAAGATGAGAAGGGAAAAAGGGACAGGAGCTGGTTGAATGGACACAGAAAATCTGGGGTGGAAAGGAGGAGTGTGCTGTCACAGTATAGGGAGAGCAACTAGGGTCACATAAAAATGTATGTATAAATTTTTGTATAAGAGACTAACTTGAATTGTAAACTTCCACTGAAAGCACAACAATAAAACATAAAATAAAATAAAGTGGGCCAAGAGAGATTTATTTATGACAGGGATGTAATAAAGTTGTTTTGAAAGGGCCATGGAGTTCGTCTTATCCAAATGTTTCCCAGGAGACTTAAAAGGATTTCGTTTTAACAGGCTGTTTCTGGGAAATAAACGTTTGGTACCAAGTGGTTCTCATTAATTCCTGAGACGTTTGATTAGGACAGTTTTATTTCAAACTGATGTTTTTATGACCCATCCTGAAGGATATGCAATATAAGCATTTGTGATTATGACTGAAGATGTCTGTAATTAATTCCTGAAACCCAAAGCTGTACACCTCCCTCCGGTACCCAATTATCCAATAGAAGCCGATTCCCCACCTACTAATCCCACCCTTCTTGTGACCTTAACCAAAGACTAACCAATCAAATGATTGTATTATAATTTCTTTGTTCCTTGGACTAGATCTGTTCCTGTTAGAAGCTTTCTGGCTGCAGCGACCAGTTTACATTTATGTGAACTAATGTCTCTCTGCATCTGGGTGTGTATTTTTTATTTTACTGAATAAATCCCTTAAGCTTCTTTCAAGGACTGAGTATATTTTTCCTCTACAACATTTATTTATTTATGTGCATCTTATTGTTGGTACATCTTCCTGGGAGGAAGTTAAGGGAAAATGCATGCAGGGGATATGGAAAAAAATTGTGGAGTTATGTGAACACACTCCAACATTTGATCAGGATACTATGATGGAAGAGATAGGTGGGAAAATTGTCCATGTGGCAAGAACACTGAATTTAGAACCTAACATCACTGATGTGGAACAGCTCATAGATCATGAGGAAGGAGAATTAGGACTTAATGGATTTTGAACAGGAAAGAAATGCTGAAGAAGAAAGAAATAATAAGGAAGAAGAAGGAGATAAGTTGTCAAATTATGCAGTGAAAGGATTAGCTGAAGTTTTTTCTAAACTAAATCAGGGGCTTCAGTTGCTTGAAAAGATGGACCCAAATGCTGATCACTTAGCTAAAGTCGGTAGGCAGATTTGGGAAGCAGTGAGATGTTACTACAAAATATATGAAAAGAAAAAGTAAAGGACTGTACAGACAACTCTCACTAATTTTCTGGCTAGAAACGCCATCCCCATTCCCAGGGATAATCCAGAAGATCCGGAACTTTCCACACAAGTGGAGTTATTACTGAAACTGACAAAATGCCAACATTGTCCAACTTTTCATCTTCGGTGTAAATTTTTTATGATTTGTGTATTTTTTATGTATGTATTAAAATATATCTGTAAGTTTATATGTAATGTTTCCAACCCCCAAAGACAAAGACCAGATTTGTAAAGATACTGATAGTAAAAGGCAATAATAATGAAAACTAAAGAAAAATTGAGGGAGTCTACTTATGTCACAACCAACTTTCGACAGAGCTGTCATACTCTAAAAAGCCAAAGGATGCCACCTTATGCAAGATTGGGTGCATAACTCAATGAACAGTACAACTAACGTAATTCAATTCATGCCAGTGCAGATAAAACAGCCAGATTCTAGGTTCTGCTTGTGGTTGAATTCCTACATTAACTGAGTACCAAATAATATGCAAGCCTCTGGATAAGCAAAGGAGAGTAAGGCAGTTTCTACTCCAAAAACAAACAAAAAACCCTTATACCTTAATCACATAAAAAAGCAGGATGAAAAAAAAGCACTAAAGCAAGAAGGTAGAAATAAGTCCATAATATAACAGTAAATAAAGTAAACTCTGTGATTAAAAGCCAGAGATTGGTTAAAAATAAAAGAATATGCCATTTATAAGAGACTCACCTAAAACATAAGGACTATGAGAAGTTGGAAACAAAAAGATGGAAAAGCTATAGCAGATAAATATCAACCAGAAGAAAGTTGGTGGAGCTATATAGATGACAAAAAAATTGGACTTAATACAAAAAGTATTATCAGTGATTTAAAAAGTCACTACAAAGTAATGAAAGGTTGAATTCACCAGGAAAATATAAGTATTCAACACTTGTACATAGTTACAATATATTCAAAATACTTAAATCAGAAATTGATAGAACACAAGAAAAAGTTGACAAATCCACTACCATATTTTGAACCTTTATTAGGATACTTTCAATTATAGGTAGATCAAACAGATGAAAAATTAGGAAAGATAAAGATGATTTGAAGAAAACAACTGATAAACTTGATCTAACGGCAATTATATATATAA